TTCTGAAGCTTGCCTCTCCCTCTGTTGTTGACTGTTGGTGTGATATTATAATTTTTTTTCACTAATTAAACAAAAAACTTGCCCCAGACATGCGGAAATAATAACGAAACGACCTCAAACAATAACGAAACGAATACAATATCGAAATACGAAGCATTTACAAAACGTTTTTGAAAATTCGTTTTTTAAATAATTGCTCCAGAATGGTTCGTTATCGTTTTGTAATTGAAAAAATTAACGAATTATTAACGAATTACGAATTAACGAAACGAAACCGCCCAGCCCTAGTATATATGCATATACATAGAGATAGATAGACAGACAGAATATAGATATATACTACCAACCAGTGATCCTGTATCCATCCATATCTGTGTGTGTGTCTACACTGCCATAGAATCCAGTCCTAAGTAGATAATCTGGATTTTACATGGCAGTGTGGAAGGGGTGACTTTGAGTGCATCTAAGCTGTAGATTTAATAAAGAAGGATGAAGCTGGTGAGGGGGTGGGGGAGAAAAGGGAAGGAAAGAAAAGGAGGAAGGGAAGGGAGAAAGGGAGGAAGGAGTAATGGAGAAAAGGAAAGGGAGGGAGGAAGGAGGGAAGGGAGGGAAAGGAAGGAATTAAAGGAAGGAGAAGGAAGGAAAGTACAGAAAGGAAGGAATGGGTGGAGGGAGGGAAGGGGGCGTTGGTGTGGATGAGAGAATGAGGAGGAGGAGGAGGAGGAGGAGGAGGAGAAATTGTTCATCTGGAGAGCACTGTGAACCCAAACAAAGATGGATCGGGACCAAACTTGGGAGGAATCCTCAATATGCCCAAAGGTGAATTCTGGTGGAAATTGGGGAAATTTGACCTTGGGAGCTGCTTGGATGTCCAGCTCACCTGGAACTGAACTGGGCTCACCCCTTCCTTCCTTCCTTCCTTCGTCCCCAGCACACTCTGCTGTATTAGGGGCGGGGCTTACTGGAGGCCCTTGATGGCGGCACCCAAGGGGAGAGCACCCAAGACGGAGGAAGAAAGGAATGATAGAAGGGAGGAAGGAAAGGGAAGAGGAAAGAGGGGAAGGATGAGGGAAAGAGGGAGGGAGGAGAGGAGGCAGGGAAGGCATGAAGGGAGAAAATGGGGGAAGAGAGAAGGAAGGGAGAGAAGGAGGAGGGAGAGAGCCAAGGCTGACTCCAGACCGTTGCCAGCACAGGCTCTGCCACATGGAGCTCTCCTGTGTGTGTGTGCGCGCGCACCCCACCCATCCCCCGTCCCAGTACGCATGCCCAGTGGTATCTTCTCCTTTTTTTAGGATTTGTAAGTTCTTTTTTTGTTTTTTATTATTGATGGTCACACCTTGTATGGTGAGAAGTTTTGTTGCCAAATTTGGTGGGTATTGGCCCAGCGGTTCTTTTGTTTTTAAGCCACTCATTACGACATGAGCATTTTTATATATATAGATTATTACTAGCCGTCCCCTGCCACGCATCTGGAAAATAAAGTAATGTGAAAGTGTTGGTTTCTAATATATGTAATGTCTTGATGCTTGTGGGTAAACAGTATTTCTTGCTGTTTCTTTGTCAGTGTTGATGTGGAGATTGTCTGGTTTGCCTACTCTGGAACATGCAACATATCATTGTCCTTCTTTAGGGGTCCCTTTCAAATCTTTGATACTGCATCTGTCATATACATATATGTGTGTGTGTGAATGGCTGGATGGCCCTTTGTCAGGAGGGCTTTGATTATGTTTTCTTGCCCTGGTGAAGGGAGTTGGACTGGATGGCCTTAAGGCAGCATTTCTCAACCTGGGAAGTCAAGACCCGGGGGGGGGGGGGGGCACCGGGTGGGGGGGAGGTGTCAGAAGGATCACCAAAGACCACCAGAAAATACAGTAATTTCTGTTGGTCATTGGGGTTCTGTATGGGATGTTTAGGTTCTTTGTATAGCTCTTTGATTGTAGGAGAGCTATACATCCTAGTAACTACAACTCCCAAATGTCAAGGTCTATTTCCCCCAAACTCCATCTGTGTTCACATTTGGGCATATTGAGTATTCCTGTCAAGTTTGGTCCACATCCATCATTGTTTGAGTCCACAGTTCTCTGGATGTAGGTGAACTACAACTCCAAAATTCAAGGTCAGTGCCCACCAAACCCTTCCAGTATTTTCTGTTGGTCATGGGAGTTCTGTGTGCCAAGTTTGGTTCAATTCCATCATTGATGGAGTTCAGAATGCTCTTTGATTGTAGGTGAACTATAAATCCCAGCAACTAGAACTCCCAAATGACAAAATCAAATTTTTTGAGTGATGGTCACTCCTTGTGTTGTGAGACGTTTTGTTGCCAAATTTGGTGTTATTTCGTTCATTGGTTCTTTTGTTTTTAAGGAACTCATTACGCACAGAGCATTTATATATATATATATAGATTTGCATGTGCGCATATAAAGTCCAGAGCATAATTGAAGGATTTTTTTAAAAAAAACCTTTCATCTGATCTCTCGCTTCCTCGGTCATTAATTCAACTTCTGTTTAAGATTATAAAGTATGAAATAAAGAGTTTCAGAGAGTTACTTTCCATTTGTGCTTCCCTTGGGCTACCTGTGTGACCTCTTGACAGCCTGATCAGCTGATCAACTGTTTCAGGCTTTTAAAAAGTGCACATATGCTGGAGTAGTCTACAAAGAAGGAGAGAAAGAAAGTGTGTGTTTTGCATGACTGCAGGGATAAACAGTGATGCATATATGCACATTTCCTGGTCGGAATAGGAATTTAAGTGCACCTTTTAAACACGTGTCTTTTGTCAGTCGCTACAAATCAGCATGGATTTATGAGTAGCATCATTTACCGACCCCTTTTTTAACTCAGTAGCTTCCATATTTTAGGACCTGTGCAGAAGGGCCCAGAGGAGGGGAAAGCAGATGGCCTGTCTCAACAGGTACCCACATCATAGAATAGATTTATAGGTTTTTCCACCAAAATGGAAATCATAAAAACTGGAGGCTGATGAAAGAAAAGCAAACATTACTGGATACATTTGGGAGAAATTTTGAAAAGATGCATAAGGTTTTTCATTATTTTTCCAAGCTTCATCTGCCCTAGTTGTTTCATTTCACATGTGCAAATTGTTATTTTTAGATGCAAAATTTGCTGCAGCATGTTGAACTGCTCTTTTTTTTTTGGCGTAGAAACCTACTGCTGTTCATTCCACATTATTTCTGACACACCTGGGATGAAACCAGGGCACCTCCCCCAACCACCATGAGATGCACCCATTAATCTGGAGACAGTAATCTGGGTTAAGACATGACATAATGAGACACTAGGTTTAAGAAATCCATGTCATTACTTACATTATTCAAACAGCTGTAGAAATTTGGTTTGTGTTGTTCTTGATGCCACCAACAATTAGTATTTAGAGTACTTTCATAACCTGAGGTGGCAAACAGTTATAATAATCTGTAAATGAATACAATACTGTCTATAGGTGAATGAAATGGGAAGATAATGATATCCATGGCAAAAGAACTTACTAGTAGGTCACAATAAGTAGTTGGGGGATTGGTCCAACATTTCTCCCATTCCAAATAGCCCCTCACGCCTGCTCCTCAGCAAATCTATCATGAGCATAAACTACAATAACTGATGAGTATCCTAGACATTATTTGAAAACACAGGATTCTGTGTTCTGTAGCCAGAGGTAACCATTGAGCCTCTGCAAAACTGCCCACACCCAAAATTTTACGGGCCTTCTGAAATATTTGTTGATTTAGTCATAAACATTCATCTCTATATGACAACCTTGCCCGATTGTAGACAAATGTCTATAACAAAGTAAAATTGCATCTATCTCGGACTAAATTTTAAATATGTTTCACATGTTAAACTGTAATTAGCTCACTATGTTGGTATTCAATAGTTTCAAGTGCAGAAGGAATGCCATCTCACAAATGTTGGCTTCATCCTACTCTATGCAAGAGACTGTAATTCTGTTTGTTTGTCACAGTCCTCCCCATGCATGTGAGAATTGTGACTGCCATTCAACAAGAGGTGGTCACACTCTTCCATCAGACAGTCTTCCTTCGACATGAGAGGGTTAGTGGATAGGGGTGCAGGTATCATACGTCCATCTTTTCTGTGCTTACCTTTTACTCAGAGTGTTGAAAGTGGTGTGCTATGTTTTTATCTAACTTTTTATCTATTACGTTTTCATTGTATTTCAAACTATTTTAAATCATGTGGTTTTTAACAGAATTGTTGTTTTAATTTTATGAGAAATGTAGAATAAGATTTTAGTGAAACTTCTATTTGAAATGATTGTAAACGTTTCTGGACGCCATATCAGGAGAAAAACAGGGTTTAAATTGAATAAATGAAAGACTACTAATGCTCCCAGTGTGCTGACTCACCTGTGTATATTTGCCTATACAAGCAGTCCCCAAGTTGCAAACAAGATAGGTCCTGTAGGTTTGTTCATATATATCCCCGTGGTGTTTGTTTTGCTGTCTGTGTCCCTGTTCAGAAGATTTCACCTCATTGTTTACATTGGATTTTGAAAAAAATGACTTGTTGTGGAAACAAGGATTGTTGATAAAACTTCAGTGGAGACACATTTTTCCCATGATAACTCTTTCAGAATATACTGAAGGAGAGATTTCTCTCACTTCCTTTTGTGTCACCCCTGTTCTTAACCACAAATCATTTGTAACTCAGATGTTTGTAACTTGAGAAGTGCCTGTATTTCTTTCATGCCACTTTGAAACTTTTTAGCTTGCCAATATTTTTCCTAGACTAAGCCAATTAATTTAGAAATCTGTGAATAATACATTGTAATTATTTATATTTTCTTTGAACTAATAGGGAAACAGAAAAGCAGAAAATGGGTAAAGGGGGGATTAATCATGGAAAAGTAATTATGAGAATCTCCTTCTTTGGTGGGATGAGAAACATCCTTTTGGAAACTATAACAAAAAGAATTTTTGCAAAGGGAAAAGGGGTAAGCAAAGGGTTAGATGCAGGCTCACCTGTTTGGTGTTGTCTTTAAGCAGCCTTTGATATATTTATCTGTAACTTCTTCCTGGAGTGGATAATTCTCCAGTGGTGATGATGGAGTTGGTGCTGATGTGCTTTCCTTTTTGTGGCAGGTCAAAATATAATTCTTGTTGTCATTATTTGACCAAAATATTCCTGCTGATGTCTCATAACGTATACAGAATTCAATCTTTGCACCATCTCTCTGATATGGAGGAACCAATGAAATCTTGAACAAGAACTGGTCAGTTTCACCATCACAAGAATTAGGCACATAGTCTCCTAAGATGTCATAATAAGTCAGCCAATTATCCAGAGACATTCGAACGTAGACCAGCTTTTCAAAGGATACATTCAGAACACGAATCGTGCCCTTCATACATGTTATCCCTGGTAGAAACTCTACAGACTCTAGCCATACTTTCTGTGCTCGCACTTTTTGCAAAAGTTCATCTTGTGTGGTAGGTGGAGTAAACAGTGGAGTTAAATAGAATTCCTCCACCGGCACATCTTCATCTTCTAAGTCATCATCTGGTGCTGAAATTGGAACTTCCCAGGTATCAAACTCCTTAACAGATACGAGGTCAAAACCAAATGCATCAGCAAATGAAACTTTTCTTGCAATGATAGCGGGGGCTTCTGCCTCCATTTCTTCAGAAGAATCTGAATTCCGCCTGCGGGGACTTGGGGAGAAGCGGTGTTGATGTGTAGATTTAACATCTTCATCTTCTGAGGGAGAATCATTTAAAGAAGGAACTTCTAATAAGTTCTCCTTACTAACATGACCAGGTTCTTCAAAAGACTCCATTGGGTTCTCTGATATAAATCGAAAGAGACCCGTCCAAGTAGTTGCAGCTGATATTTGAGACTGTGTGATTTGAAACAAGGATTAATATTACATTTGACATTGCAAAAGAGACTCTGTTCTATTAATAGGAGCAATGGCTTGTTAGCTATGTTAGTCTGTTCTTCCACAGCCTTCTTCAGTCTGATCGCATTGCTGTGAAAATGTGAAGATAATATCTACATTCAACATGTAGGTAACTTGAAAACCAGAACCTTTGTTCATGAAATCATGAAATGTTAGTTATATTCATAATATAAGCTCCCTTATGTCGAGCAAACAAGACGTATCAATGCAGAAACATAGTTTCCCATACTGGGATATTTATCATATCTTGCTAATTATTTTTCTGTTGATTGTGATTTTGTCAAAATGAAAACTGTGCAATTTGACTTTCCTTGCCTAATTGATTTCAGAGCAGAAGTTCAGTGGCACCACCAGTGAACCCAGCTAATGATCGCTGGGCAATTTGGGATACGGGTAAAATAACAAGCACTGTAAATAGTACTTCAGAAGCTTCACAGACTTGTTTCACAGCTTCCGTAACTGGGAGCTGCAATTCATCATGAACTACGATTTGGATATTAAAACAATTTATAATTAATGTACACTTATAGTTTATGTGTCATTCAAAAGACAACAGAATTGATTCTACAGTCCCCTCTGCCAGTAATATTTTAGCACTGCCAGCACTCTTTATGACTTTCTATTGACATTCTCCTGCACCTGAGATTTAATTTATTATATCCTAAAATTTATAAAACCTTCAGTTCGAATACTTTTTAAAAATAAAATAAAATAAAATAAAGCTAGCTTTAATGATCTGGAATTAGATTGAAAACTTGCAAAAGTTACTTTTTATGGGGATCACTATGCTGACTAGGTATCTCATGGGTTATGATATAATATATCATTGTCATGCTCTACAAAAGTACGTGCTATTATTACCAAATAAAAGAGCCAGTTATGAAACATCTGGCCTGGTAAAGGGACTTCATTTATACACACACACCACCCCAATATTTGTTTCAGCCAAGATGTTGTCCATTGAGGTTATGGCAAGATTGATACTAGCAGTGTGAAGATGAAAGTGGTGGCTTTCTTTCCCATTCTGTTCATTTTCATTGGTTTCACATTTATGTAGTAACCTTTGATAATTTTATTCTTGTTGAAAAACAATACAGGAATAAACTAAGAAATAAAGGATGCAAATGTACCCTTTCAAAGGGAATGAAAGAGTGCTGGGAAGAGAACGGAAAGGAGAGAAATGCTAGGTTTTAATACAGGATTACGACCACTGTATGCTATCAGTCAGCAAAACACGCAGATCCTATGTGAGGCAAGTGTGGCAAATTGGTCCTGCCGTGCTGTCTGCCAGTTATAATCCCATTATATATCTCTGTATTACAATGTATCAAGTATCTTGGGCATTGCATGAGTCATCCTCTGACCCTACAATATGCCCATTTCTATAGATAAACTAGTTTGTACACAAAGGCTCCTGTGTGGCAGCAAAATCTGCTCTTGTCTCTGCTGAACCAATACTACAACTTCATATTTTTGTTTTGACTTGTGTAGCAGCTACTGCACTTGCTTAGAACATATGGGTCTAAACAAATCTGCATGCTATTCCGTTGTATTAAGGCAGTGAACTTTTGTGGAACGTGAATGCTTGGTAGGAATTAAATGAAGATAATGTTCTGATAATGAAGACACTGGAGTCCATGTTATCAATCCTGGATCTTTTAAAGCAGGAGTTCATTGAACAGGCTAAAAGTATGATTGTTACAATATATCAAATAGTCTGTCATCTCATATATTTCTTGGAGCCACTGGTGGCACAATGGGTTAAACCCTTGTGCCAGCAGGACTGAAGACCAACAGGTCGGAGGTTCAAATCTGGGGAGAGTGCAAATCAGCTCCCTCTATCAGCTCCAACTCCCCATGTGGGGACATGAGAGAAGCCTCCCACAAAAATGGTAAAACATTAAAACATCCGGGTGTCCCCTGGGCAATGTCCTTGAAGATGGCCAATTCTCTCACACCAGAAGTGACTTGCTGTTTCTCAAGTCGCTCCTGACACATACACAAAACCAGCTCTAGTTCTTTCAATATGGCTATCAAAATTTTCTATGGGCAAACAGATGATGACTGCTGTATGACATATGTTCTCTATCTCACAAACTGATAGGAGAAAACAGGTACCATTTTAGGAATCGGCAGGCCAAATATACCCAGAAACAGCTCTAACATTTGAAGATGGCCAATTCTCTCACACTAGAAGCAACTTGCAGTTTCTCAAGTCTTTCCTGACATGAAGAAAAATGCATTTCTTAGTTAGTCTAAATCAAATTGCTATACCCAGCAAAAGTAGAGCTATTAAATTAATAAGATTTATTTATTTATTTATTGTTGATGTTGTGATTTTACCCTGTTTTTTCTCTCCACAAGGAGACTCAAGTGTATGTGTGTGTTGACTTACCAATCAGCAGTTGATTCACTAATAATAATAATAATAATAATAATAATAATAATAATAATAATTTATTTGTTTGTATACCACCCTGTCCTCTCAATGGGACTCAGGGCGATTTCCAACATATAAGGCAAAACATTCAATTGCCAGAAAGGAAAATGATACAGACAAATTAAAATAAACATCATAAAACAGAAAAACCTGCTAAAACATATATCATCAATAAGAGCAAAACTGAAGAAAGGTTTGAGTCTCAAGTTGTCCATTCCCTATCACTTGAAGTTGAAAGAACTGAAGTTGGCTTCATTGGGAGGCCTGAACAGTATTGCTACATCAGCAGACCAAGGTTTAGATGCTGGTTGATCCTGCTTAATTGCTCTGTTTCCGTATTTCGTATGCTACTTTACATTTCTATCCATCTTATTGAACCACCCTATTCTTTAATCAGCTCGCATAGTGTCCTCTCCCCCCCCCTCCAAAATTAGTCTGTTGTTGCTTTTGATGCTTGTTCATTGTTTATGCTGTTTTAATGCTATTTTAATTGTATTTTGCTTTGGGCTTGGCCCCATGTAAGCTGCCTCGAGTCCCTTCAGGGAGATGGAGGCAGGGTAGAAAAATAAAGTTCTTCTCCTTCTTCTTCTTGTTCTTCTTCTTGTTCTTCTTCTTGTTCTTCTTCTTCTTCTTCTTCTTCTTCTTCTGGTTGTGTCATATGGAATCCTGGATTTTGTTGTCTCATATATTGCTAGAGCTCTCATGTTATCACACCAGGGCTTTAAAGCAGGCAGCCCCGCATTTCTGCCACCTGCACAATTCTGGGAAATTTAGTTTAGGGCAAGGCTTTTTGAATTCTCAGCTTTCCCAAACCACATTTCCCAGAATTCTGCAGAACTCTGTGGGGTCCCATGGAATGATGTCATGGCAGTTAAAGTGGAATCATACTGCTACAATTGGGAAGTGTGAAAGGGCACCGGTGCAGTTAAACTGGAGACTTTACCCTCAGTTAGAGATCTCTCACTTATTTCATCACCATATCTGATCCTGGAATGCCAGGGTAATGATGAGGTATGGATCTAAGGCAGGCTAATAAGAGGATAATGTGTGATTGTATAGGACCAGACTAGAGAATGAATCCACTTTAAATCCAGTTGCTGCCTCCTGCAGAATTCTGGGGTTTGTAGTTTAGGGAGGAGTCTTTAATAACCTCACTAAACTACAAAACTCAGAATTCTGCAGGAGGCAGAAACCGGTTTTAAAGTGAATTCACTCTCTAGTGTGATAAGATGATGTGTAGTGAGGCATAGTGCATCTGCTGCACAAGAGCTATAGACTCTTTAGGGTTTCTAAAGGCCTGTCCAGACAGGACCTTTATTGCAGTAACTCCCACAATAAAGGAGGGACAACGTTCTGGACAGTCCCAAATTAATTTGCTAGTGGATTTAGCGCAGGATAAATCTACTATTTCCCACAGTTTACCGGGATAAATACCCCCCCCCCCCCCGTTCTCCTGGTGCATCGTTTCTACATGCCGGGAGAACTGGCCGGGGCTTATAATGGAGTTCTGGCAAGTTTGTATTACTTTACAAAGGGGTCTGGGGGCTTGAGGGAGGGCCTCCAGATGTTCTCTCAGGCTAGTCCTGAGGGAAGGTCTGGACACTCACCCCAGAAAGCGTGCGCTTTCTGGGGTGGGTGTGGACAGGCCCCCAGGAAAATCCGGGTTTTAAAACAAGAATTCTCCTGGGATAAAGGCCTGTCTGGATCCAGCCTGAATGTGTTTTGGATGGCTGTTCTTCTTTACAGCTCCCCACCACCTTTATCAGGTAGGCATGGGATCCATTTGTAGGGAAAGTCTTGAAAGCTTCTGTTTTAATTTTGTATAAGACTCAAGCAATAACTGCAGTTGAGTTTTCAATAAATTTCATTTTGTCTTTTCTATAAAGCAAACATACCTTCTATCAGATACAGACATGTTTGATTAGGTGTAGCATACAGGAACCAAGCAATGATTTCAGTTTGTTCAGCATATCAGTGGGAGCTCTGTTCCTTTCACAATGATTATCATACCACAAAAGTTTTTTTTGCATCAATCAGCTTTCAATGGGGAACGATGAAGGGTTCTTTCCCAGATTACACAGAAATAATTGCCTAGGGCCTTAGTCTGCTTATCTTCATACTTATCATACGATATTTATTTCATTTCTGTTTCCATTCAGCAAGGATTTATACTTCAACATCTTGTAAACACAGGTAGTTGAATCAACACAGTATAAAATAGAGATCAGGAAACCAGTAACAGCAGAACATTTAGCCAGCTTTTCTACTCAATTTATTTTGTCCATGAATACATTTACCAAGAAACCTATGAGAAACTTCAGCAGAAAACTGAGGCATGGATATTGCTGTAGTGACTGGTATTTCTCAGCCTGATGAAGAAATGCTAAACAACAATGATACATACAAGGGAAAGTTAGAAGCATCTAATATGATTTGTCCCAAACCAGATGTCTCTGTTCCAGATATTGACAGAAGTTTATCTCAAATAATGTGTGAACAAAACACCCTGGAAAAACCTCCATTATCTTATGTTGCTTTGATAGCAAAGGCAATTCTTGCCTCACCTTCAAAGAAACTCAGCTTAGCAGCTATTTACAGATACATTGAAGATAATTTTCCTTTTTACAGGAAGCAAAGTCAAAGCTGGAGGAACAGCATCAGGCATAATCTTTCACTCAATGATTGTTTTGTCAAAGTAGGAAGATGTGAAGATGGCAAAGGAAATTATTGGAGTATCCACCCAACTAACTTCAATGATTTTGTGAACGGGGACTTTAGGCAACACCGCAGATCACACAAGCGAGAGCACCAAAAGGAATACGAGCCATGTCTCAGCATGACTCCCCTTGCACCGTGGGGATACTGCTCTTGTTTAACCCTCACTTCCCGTTATCAAATGAATTCCTACTTTTCAGATCCTTTGTGGAAGATGCAGTGTGGCAATGGTCAATATTTTGCAAACACTTTCCAGAGATGGGAGACTAATGTTGCCTTCTCTCACAGAACATTTTCATCCCTGGTACAATTTGATCGAGCAAAGTGGGACCCTGTGGACTGGTTTTATGGATTACCCTCCTCTTCAACTGTGCAGCAGAACGTTTTCCTGAATGTTCACCCGACAGCCCCTGCTTTTCTTTCTTTCTTTTCTTTCAAACAGCAGAACAGAGAAGCACTCAGCTCTATCTGTGAGAACCTGAAAGGATGCCACTTACACCGAAACAAGACCAACACAGTTGGACATGACATCGCTGAGGATCAATGCATGCAGCAATGAAGAAGGAGTGATACAGCCATCTACTATAAAAGACAATGGTGTTATGTTGGGACTTCATTAGAAGCGAGTACCATTGATTTTAATGGAAATGTCTTTCATGTTAAAGTGTAGATCAGGCTTAAAACTGTGTGCTGCAAATTGAGAAGGCAATACATATTGTTGTCACACCTGTTGCTTGTAAGATGCTATCATTTATCATTTTTTATTTTTCGTAGAGGAGATATGTTTTGTAGAGAAGCTATTTTAATATATCGTAGGCACTCAGATAGCACAGATGGCATTATTGCATATAAATAATGTATCATTTCATCTAACTGACAGGTTGGGTATTGTTTAGCAAACTTCAAAGAATTATCTTTAAAAATAATAAATAAATAATAAATGAATAATAAATAAAAATAACAATTTTTTTCAAAAAATAAGCTTCAGATTGGTAATATCTAACTAATAATCTTCATTATAAAGTCTAAAGTACAGATCTCATTGTATATGGAAAACCTCAAGTGGTACTGATTTTTTTAAGTGTGGATTTTGCTGATATAATGTTTGATTATGTGATCATCAATGCTTGCTTTATGTCAATGTATCATTTATTCCATTGTTTGCATTTTCTAACAACAGACTAAGCATTATAATGGAAAAACAGAAGAACTGTATATCTCTTGGGCCCCTTCTACACAGCTGAATAAAATCCCATATCCAGAATATCAAGGCAGAAAATCCCACAATATCTGCTTTGAACTGGATTATCTGAGTCCACACTGCCATATATTCCAGTTCAAAGCTGTAAATGTGGGATTTTATTCAGCTGTGTGGAAGGGGCCTTGGTTTGATGAGAAACCAGAAGCTACTGTGCAATATAGTGAGTGCATTCTCTAAAAGGTTTAAGTGTCATAACATAAACACTTTTTTAAAGTGTGCTTTGCTAAAATATGTCAAAGCATTGCTTTTTTAGAAATAAGCATTGTTTCTAGAAATACCTAATTCTACAATCCTAAGCATACATGTTAGCTAAGAAGTCCCATTGAATTCAGTGTGTCTTATGATTGAGTGAACACACTTGAAATTTAGTCTTGAGACAGGCAGGCAAAGTCCACAGTATATAATTCCTACCTAGAACTCTTACATTAGCTGTATTTACACCTTGTTGTAATTTTGCTGGTTCTTTTTCTTTGGGTGCCTAAAATGTATTTCGACACACTCAACGGAAGTTTTTAATTGCTGCAATCCTAGTAAAGGCTAAAAGAAAATTTTATTGAAGGGAAGAATCCTTATGAAGGAAGTAAAATACTAACACTTTGCCCTTCCTGTACTTACAGCGCTGTGTAATTGACCCATCACTGATTCCACAGTAAAGAATAAATATGCAGTGTTACACAATAATCCATTTTAAAGAGTTTCTAGAGGTTCGCTGTCAGCTGTTACAACTTGCCCCAAATTCAAATATGTCATGTTTATCTGATTGTTGTATCTGCTTGTCATATCACAAATTCTGTGTGCCTGTCCATGCATTTAATAAATTATGCATTTATCAAAACGTATGAGAGGAGAAAAGAAAAACAGAACTGAAATTTTAAAAGCTATAAAATGGGCATTTAAATAAAACATTTGAACAAGTGAAAAATTCTTATAACATGGGATTGTTGCATGGAGGCATGGGAGAGGGTAACACTCCCCCTGAAGCACAGGTTTGCAGCTTGGGAGTGATCCTGGACTCATTGCTGAGCCTGGAACCCCAGGTTTTGGCAGCGGCCCGGGAAGCTTTTGCACAACTAAAACTTGTGTGCCAGTTGTGCCTGTATCTTGGGAAGTCAGACTTGGCCACAATAGCCCAGGCAACACGCTCTACATTGGTTTGCCTTTGTTTGGAAACTTCAATTGGTCCAACAGTCTGCAGCCAGGTTGTGGCAATTCAGTGGCGATTCAAAGTGCTGGCTAAACCCTATAAAGCTCTAAATGGTTCTGGCCCAGTTTACTTGTTGGAATGTATTTTACCCTATGAATCACCTCAGAGGTTAAAATAATCTGAGGGGACCCTGCTCTCAGTTCCACCTTTTTCGCAAGCGGGACTGGGGGGACAAGAGGCAAGACCTTCTCAGTGGTGGCTCCTCAGCTGTGGAACTCTTTCCCTAGTGACATTAGATCAGCTCCCTCCCTCCTAGCCTGGCTCTGGGATCAGGCTTTCTGAGATTAGCGCAGTGCAATAATCTAATTGGAATATGTGCAATGACTACGGAATGGCCTTAGACTACGATTTTTGGATGTCATGATTTTAATTTTGAATGTAATTTTAAGTGTTTAATAAGTGTTAATTTTAATTCAATTGATTTTAAGCTTAATGTTTGCGTGTGTTTAAGGCATTGACTAATTGCCATATGTAATTAGTTAATGTCTTAAGCCACCTTGAGTCCCCTTTGGGATAGAGAAAGGTGAGGCATAAATAGGGTAAATAACTAAATAACTAAAGAGGCAAGTAAAAGAGATTGTAATCAGGATATAAGAAAGTATGCAAGATACAAATAAAGAGAGGACATGTCTCCCACATATGTAATACTGGGACCTGTGATAACCTAGTAAAGCTGATGGTGGAGGATTTGGAGAAGAGAAAAGGAAGCACTTCTTACATATCAAATATATTTAAACAGTGGGATTTTCTTCCTTAAGTTATGGTGATGGGCACTAGTTTACATGTATTTAAAAGAGGGTTGCATAAATCAATGGGGTAGAACTATCACCAGCTCCTAATCATGAGGTGCCTATGACCAGGGTACCAGGCCCCATCTTCACTGACCATTTAATCCAGTTCAAATCTAGCTTCAAACTGCAGCAGCCAGGCAACAAACTCCCACAAAAGTGTGCAAAGGAAAGCCCTTCATGCTCGTTGGTGCTCTGTGGTTTTTGTAATTACCTTTCAGGTGTCAAACTAGTTCCAGGATTTACTCTGTAATCATCTGCACAGCAAAAATACTTTATTCAATACTGGTTTAAAATTGCATTAAATGGTCAATGTTGATGGGACCCCAGTCACCACGGAAGAATAAGAGGAGATGGATATTGTCCTATAGCTTTTAGGTTTCTCTAAGCCTCTTTGATCACTGTGGAAACTTATTAGATAGACCTTTGGACCAATACAACAAGGTTGCTCTCGTGAATTTGGGGCTCTGAGTTGACAAGTCTACCACATTTTTGATGACATTCAAGATGCAGGGAAACCAACATTATTTCTATGACTAACAGCAACATAACTCTGTGATCAAGTCGAAGGCCTGCATGTTAATATCTAAGACCCAATAATGTGAGAATTGTGTAATTAAACAGTTTATTTCTACTGCAGAGATTTTTACCTATTATAAGCTACACCACCAGCTCTCCTTGGCAAAAGCAAATAATGCACAGTATTTCTATTTTGCACTCCTTGCCCCCACTTGAAAATCAGCAGAGGGATTGAGTTTATGCCCATATTCCAAATGTGACATTCAGCCTTGAATGTGTGTTGAAATGTCATCCTAATATCTCAATGGTCTCTTGAGTTATAATGTAACAGACAAATGAAGTTATCAACCTTATGCCAAATAGGAAAGTCAAAACAAAGCCCTTAGCTTTACTTGCCCCCAAACCTCTCCTCTTTGCAGATACAGAAACACTATTTTATTTTATTGTTGTGCGCATACGCAAAAAATTCAAAGGGGAAGAGATTTAGGATCTTTCTGTCCTTGTTCAAAAACAAGGCAGGACACTGTCCTCTTCCCTGCTTTTGAAGAGCACAGACGAAATGCCAAGTGGCTGACATAAATAACTTGGACTGAAGTCATGTTGACTCCTATAAATAAGTCCTGTCACTTGTTCAGTTCTTCTTACATCTGCAGTCTTACCCTAAACACATTGCATGAAAGTAAAGGTCGAGCTAATCTACATATTCAGCAAAAGCAGAGTACTTATGATTCCCAAATTCATAATTTCAGTGGAGACAAGACTGAGTGCTGCTCAATGTCAAACCCTGGTTTGTAGCGAATTAATTGGATAGTGAATTTATTCTGATAAACCCACTATTTCCGGTTCTGGACTGCAGAATACTGCAGTCCAGACAGTATTCCCACAGTTTTCTGGGCTAAATTAGCCCAGAAAACTATGGGAATCCCAACCCCTAAACTGAGTAAAAAAAAAAAAAAGAACTCACGCGGCCTTCCTGGGACGGCTGTCGGAATTCTCCTGACGCCTACAAAAGATTATTGTATGATTAATAACTCTGCCTCACATGTTTAGTAGCGATGTATCAGGACCACAACAGTTTCAAAAAGGACATTGATGCCCTGGTAAAATGACCCGGGTGCTTTGTTCTTTCTTCTCTTTACTTGATCACTGAAATGTGATATTATCCCATACATGCCTAGTAATTTAGTATCTTCTTAGATGAGATTAATAATAAAGCAGGTGAATCCCTCCAGACTTTGATACAAATAAAAATATAGATAAACTAGAGACCTAATTCTTCAGAAAGACAGTAAATATAATCTTGGGAGGGATATGCAAGCACTAATAACAGTACGGATGCCTCACGACTGCAGGCAGCGAGGAAGAAATGTACAAGATTTGAGAATCTCAAGCACTGATTGAGAAATACATTCTGAAATGCAACACAATACCATATGTGACAACATTATAAATCATAATAATTTGAGTTCAAAATGTGGTTATGCATTAACACTTAGGCTCCTTCAACTGGAAATCTTTCATCCTTCTTTTCTTCCCTCCTTTCTTTTTTAATTGAGATGCATCATCACATTCCAAAATGTAAGAAATGGCACATGTTCTATTGAATAATCATTACTCTAAATTAGAATCCAAGAATAATTTTTGAACAATTACAATATCCATAGTAATTTTAGGGGTGATTGGAACAAGAATATTAGCATCAGGTTTGTGAAATTATACAAATATGAAATTAACATGGGAATAATCTCCTTCATTAATCAAGAAATTAATCCATTGTACTAGTGAATTTTTTAAAGCAGCTAATAACTGCTATCACAACCTCCTAAGTCTACTACCTAAACAGGGATATGAAAAAGACACATTCTACTAATATGAAAGTCACAATTATTTTCATTATAGTGCCCAGTATAGCTATTGTTGGGCTTTTTATTTAAATAACCACATCAGTATAATTATTCAGTAGTTTTCTATGAAT